TGTTTAACAAATTTTTACCAAGAAATGTAAAATCATTTGCAGTATAGCAGGGAAAATGTTGATTCCAACCATATGATACAAAATCGTAAAAGCAGGAAAGGGTTATTCTTAAAATACCTAAAAATATAAGAGTAGATAGATGTTTATGTATTTGGCCTGAAGAGCACACAAAAAATTAAAGATCAGGAACATCCGAACAATAGTTTGAACAATTTAGATACAAATTTTAACTCTTAGCAGCAATGGCGGAGCCAGGAATTATTGTGTGGATGGGCTAAACTAAAAATATTACTACGAAATTAAATGCTCAATGTTTTTTGTTGCCTAAATATAGTAATATAACAGTAAACTTGAAAGTAAAAATTTGAAGCAAGAAACTTATAGTCTATTTTCTAGGCTTCTAGCCTTCAAAAGTTTCAAATGAATAAAATAAAAGAACCATGTGTGGTATGGAAGTTTTAATTTATTACTATTACATTTTAGTATTGGTTAAAATAATAAGTTTATTTAATATTTATTAACTCTTATTTTCCCTAAAAACTATCATAAGATTCAGAAATTTTCTTTGCTATGTGGGCTATGACAATTTAAAATCATAAAATAATCCAAATGATTAGTGTTTTTAAACATAAAAACTAAAACTCTCCCTATACTATAGCCTACCAAAACCTTGTACTTAGCTCCGCCGGTGCTTAGCAGGAGTTTGAGGTTTAACTAATAGAAAAATGTGGTCCAAAGAAACTACAACGGGATCCTGGCCATGTTAATGAGATATTATGTATGGAACAGTTTTGTGGGTGTAGAAAGCCCAGCAGATTGAATTCCAATTAATAATTCAGTGTGAAATATGAAGAAAGACTGAGACATTACTCATAGAAAGTGAATTGAAATGTGTATCAGTTGTGGTGGCAACAAAGGCTAAGGTCAATCAGATAATGAACAACTTCTTCACACTGTAAGCAAAAAAGTGTAAACAAGGGTTAGAAAATCATTTTTTAATAAGTTGACAAAGAAAGAGAAGATTACTACCGTTCTAGGATTTCATAGTTGGAATTCTCCATAAACATGGCTTTAGAATAAACTGATACTGCAATGAACAAGAGATTTGTGGTTCTTACCCAAATTTGAGTCTACCCTCAACAAATTTAGTTTGTGCAACCTTACATCAGGATCACCAACTTTTATCAATTAATTAATTAAATATTAATAACCATACTTTATTTCCAAGGTATCTTGTACCTATGTGTCTACTATATACTTTGATTGTGTGATTGGGAAGGAATAGTTTTATGTGATAGAAACAATACATGCATGGTGTGTTTGTTTGACCGGATTAGGGGGGGATTGGACTGGACTAGACTAATTGCTAGTGTAGTCCCTTGTTTGGTCTGGACAAGGATTAGGTTTAATGAGCTTATGTCACACTCGCTCGGATTATATACCTCGCTAGGTGTTCTTAACGAAGATCCCCAATTTCGGCTAGACTGCTAAAACTGTCTCCTTCTCTGTCGTCTTCTCCTCGTCTAAGTCCTAGAGCCCCCTCTTCCGTCTTCCTTCTCTACCAATCTTCCACCTATTCCTCCTCCAACAAGACCCATAACCTCTATCGTCTCCGATCATCGTGGGCACATATCACCGTAGATGGTTTCTTTGAAACCCAAATTACAAGATCTTTGTGAACCCAATAGTGGGTGAGGAACATGACTGCGATGGAGGAATCTGAAACGCCAAGAACGCTGGCGTCCACAACGACGATGAAGATGGTGAAGCAGCTTGGGGTCGCCGCCTAAGATGCTAGGACACTGGGACCGGTGAAGAAGATGGAGGCAGCAGCCTGAGAGGCTCTGATTTGCGGAATTGGAGTTGGTTTTGAGACACTATTTCGACGACGGGACACTCTGCAATTGTGGAATTGGAGTTGTTTTGATCTGATCTCAAATTGTGGAATTGGTTTTCGAAGAGGAAAGTTTTCAGACAAAAAAAAAAAGATAATTAATAATAAAATATTAATAAAAAGGGATTAAATAATATAATATTAAAATTTATTAATTATCCTGTTTTTAGTACGACACTGCCACAAACGCTTCACTAAGTTAGTCCAAGTTAGTCTAGTCTAAGCAAGTTAGTCCGGTCCAGCTAGTCCAGTCCGAAATAATCTGATGCAACAAACGTACCCACATAGGTTCTTCCCAGTTTAAAAGGCTATTTTTAATCATTGGAGCGAAAAATTTAGAACCACAACAGTTAAATACCTGCAATTGAAAGAACCGAAGCGTTAAAAACTGAAATACGTTCATTAAAAATGAAAATAAACTCCGCTGCAAAACAACAAAACTAATTTAACAATCTTATTTAAACCTTAAGGGGGCGTTTGTTGCACCGGACTATCTCGAACTGGATTAGCTTCAAGGACTAAGCTGGACTGGCTTAGACTAGACTAAACTGGACTAACTTAGTGAAGCGTTTGGTGCAGTATTGGACTAAGAAGCTGGATAATAACAAATTCTAATATTATATTATTTAATATATAAATTATTAATATTTTATTATGATCTTATCTTTTTCTCCATCTTTTCCTACCATTTCCGTCCCACTCTCTTCCTCTTCTCTCAGTTCTTCGTCCCACCATCTCCCTCTTTTTTTCCTCTCAGACCTCTCAATTCATGTCTCTTTCTCATTTCTGATCAAACTCCTTATCGATTCCAGTCTCTATTTCTCTATCCTCCCTCCCTCTCTAGCTATGCGTTGTTCGAACGGAACCTCACAACTCCAATTTTCTCGACAAGTTGCAGGTTTCCCGATGTGTTTTCCGGCTAACCCTCGTTAAATTGGATGAAGTTAGTACCACCAAAAAATTCATCACCATCCTTGGACCGAGATCTTAGCTTTGCATGCTCCAATCTGTCATGGATTTGAAGAAGCCCAAACAGGCCGAGACTTCTAGGCCATTTTCCGACCACATTCGACCACATTTTGGCCTCGATTCAAGTAGAATCGTAATCTTGTCACTCCCAGCTTCAATTTTGTATATTTTATATGAAAGTTGGTTGTGAAATGGATCTGAAAAAGAGTCGGAAAGTTAATGATTGATCTAGGTGACCGGAGATGACGAGGAGTCTGTCGGAAGTGGTCGTTGAACATGACAAGTACGAGAAAGAGAAGATAGTCATAGCTAGTCCCATGGTTATTGGGGGGTCTCGCTAAAACCTCTTAGTGAAGGATTTTGTCCATGCTAGTCTCCTTTAGTCTCATTAATGTTAGTCCTAGCATGGAACAAACACGGTATTGGACTAATAGCTAGTCCAGTCCAGTCCGACTTAGTGAGGACAAACAAACGCCCCCTAATAGAAAACTTGTACCAAACAATTAAATAAAGGCCTAATTTTTCCAACAAATTGATAAAAAGAAGCTAATTGTGTCCCTTCATTATACTTCAGATAAACCAACATTGAAAGTAAATACTGTGATGTAGCTAGCTGACTAATCACCTAGAACACCTAAAAAATTTTCACTAAGAACCAAATAAAGAGTAGCCAATTCCCAATTCGGAAACACTTCAAAAACCAAAAGTAACAATGACTTCAAACCTCAGTCGGAAAAAAACCACAATTCATTTAAACCTCCATCGAGAACTGCAAAAAGAAATGGGACTTGTTATTAGCACTCCAAAAATCTCATTTTACACTCCAAACTTTCTATATTATGAAAGAAAAATACACTTGTGAGGAGTGTAGAATGAGATTTTTGAAGCGCCAATAACACTTCTTTAAAAAAAAACCAATGAGAATCATTTAGAAACGGCAAAAAACCGATATTAATAAATAAAAAAGAAGTCAGAGAAAAAATAAAGTGAACAATTCCTTTTGCAAAGCCATCCTCTTCAACCATGAATCTGATTGAAAGAAAATCAAGCAACTGATTGTATATATTCAGTTTTTGTAGATTTCGATTGTTTTTTCTGGTTCGTTGGAAATACCCCATTAATTGAAATGATGAATGCAAATACTTAGGTCATCTCCAACCGAAGAGTCCAGAGGATCAAAGGACCGAAAATAGCCTGAAAATCGTCTCCAACCGAGAGTTAGGCCAGAGGGCTCTGGAGTCTGAGAGGGCCCATGGAATCAAAGAGGACTAGAGGGCTGGAAGGCTAGCTGCATGCAGCCAGCCTAAGGCTGGCCATTTTTTTTTTTCTTATGTTGGATTTCTAATCGGTTATAACCGACAGGAATTCTTTGAATATTTTTTTTAACAGTTTTATTTTTTTTTTATTTACAAAAATTTTCCTATAACTTCTATTTTTCATATATTTTTTTTAAATTCTATTTTTTTCCTATAACTTTTATTTTACAAATTTGTTTCATAGTTTTTTTTTAATTTCATTTTTTCCTATTACTTCTATTTCACAAAATTTGTTTCATTTTATTTTAAATTCTATTTTTTTTCCTATAACTTCTATTTCGTAAAATTTGTTTCTTATTTTTTTTAATTCTATTTTTTTCTTTAACCTTTTAAGTCATTATACAAAATTAAATTAAATTAAGTAACATGAAACAACATTAAACAATATTAATAACATTAACCAATATAAAAATTATACAACATAAAAAAAACATTTAACAACATGAAACTTAAACAACATTTAAGTTGTACTTTTTAAATAATAAATTATGTTTGACCCTATGACCATTTGACCCTCGGTTGGAGACAATTTTTTGTAATAGGACTAAAACAAGCCATTTGGCCCTCGGTTGGAGACAGAGACAAATATAACTCTGTATTGTTCATTAAAATATTAATATCTTGAAGAATCTGGAAGGACCAGAGGACTAAAACAAACCCTCTAACCAGCCATCGGTTGGAGATGACCTTACATCTTATCGGCTTCCCAATTACTCTGCGCCAAGTTTTACCTTTATTAAGTAAGTGCAAACAAAGAAATCACCAGCAAAATCAGTGCTTTGTCTGCAATTGTACATCACCCATAGCTTCAGATCCCCTCATAAAGTAAATTCAACTAAATTTAAATTTAAATGGGCAAAATAAAAATAAAAACATTCATATAATGCACAACTCCATGAATTTTCTCCCTCCATTGTCATGGATTTTCCGGGCAACCAAACAGAGCAAAAACTCCAAAAAAAATTTTCTTTTTTTTTAAATCACAAAATTCTAACAATTCTACAGCGCCATTCAGCTAAAAACCATACCAGTGAACCAACTGGTCAAATCCTACTGCGCCATTCCGCGAGATCTCCACCTCATAAACCCTAACGCGAACTGAATCAACCAAAACTGAAAAGCAAAATCCAAATAAGAAATGGAGACACAATTTTTAATAGACAACGACTGAAGGCATTTCAATCCATCGCTGTAGGGCACGAAGATCAAAGCAATTACAAAACCCGGATCTAAAAATCGGAGATTTACAGATATGAATCAAAAGCAAAAGGCTTTTTCAATTCCATAATTTCCCATAAAACAAAATTTATAAAAATCAGGGAAAAGGGTAAACAGGACTTACACCCCAGGAGCAGAAGGAAGAGGGAGATCAGAGGGAATCGACCCGCCATGGAAATCTTTGAGCGTCATGGTATTCCCACTCAATTCGACATCTTTCTCCCCCCCCCCCTCCTCTCTTTCTACTTTCTCTCTCAAGATCTTCCCCTTGATTCATGGAAAGTTACGATCCCCACCACGGAATGCAAAACCACAAAACCCAAAACAATGAAAGAGCAATTTGAGACAAAAAGTGAAAACCAATAAAAGCAAGCAGAGGATGCAAAATATACAGAACAAACCAAAAAAAAGGAACTGAAGCCAGTAAGAAAATTACAAAACTCACAAAAAGGTTACAGATCTGGCAATCCCGCGTCAGCAAACCAAATTATTTTTTATAGCAAGCAGTGACAACGACGGCACATGGACGAAATTTTTACAGTTCAACAGATCGGCGCGAGCGGAGAGAGATGAGATCAGGCACACAGACAAAATTTTTACAGTTTGACTGATCGGCACGAGGGGAGAGAGATGAGATCAGAAAGGGGGAGAAAAATTAGGGTTAGAATAGCGACAACAGTAAAGAAAAAAGGAAGGAGCACCGAAGCACCCAAAAAATCGAAACCGGAGAGGAGAAACGCGTGGTCTCGTAGGGCGAGAAAGTTACTGTAAAAGAGATGGCTAAAAAGTGGCTTAACAAACAAATTGAGGGGTATTTTGATCCGCACACTACCGTAGAACAGTACTACTCGAGTTCGGATTTTAGTGTATATAAATAAATGTAAATACTGCAAACGAAAACAAAATTTCAGTTATGAACAGTGGATTTTTCTCATGTTAGGGTGTAGGGTTTACGGATTAGCTAGTAGTGGCCTGGCTTCCTCCACACAAAATAGCAAATAGTGCACGACACTGAAATGCAGGAGAACTTTTTTAGTGTGGGGGTCGCATTTCAATATTGTTACTAATTCATGTATTATTATATAAATGAATGACGTGATTGTTAATATTACTTGACGATATTATAGTCATGCCGGAAAATGTCTATCTAAAAAAATTCTATCACAAGCACTCTGTGTGTTGGAACCCCTGGAATGAAATGAATATGAAGCTCATTACTGTGATTTTTGGGGCTTCTATCTTCTGTTAAATCTGTCCTTGTCATTTCTGTGTATATCCTTGCAAGAAATTGGTACCCATCCATTATCCATCAGCTTTTGCTATGTGATGGACTTCTTGTTTTTCTTCTTGTCTTTCACGTGTGTGTGTGTCCCATATTCTACCATTAGCCTTCGGCTCCTTAAATTTCTCTATCTCGCTCCTTATGTAACGGCATATGAAAATTTATATGATAAAGTTTAATATTGGGAGATCATTTCCAAACAATCTTTTTATGCATCTAGACTCTATTCTCTATTTTATATTGGTTGATTTTTTTCCAATCTGTTCAATCAAAAAGCTAAATATAAACACAAGTGTGCAAACAAAAGAAAAAGAAATAAGATTTGCGATTTTCATTTCCCTTAATATTTGATATTCGTTGCATAAGATATCAGCAAGTTAGAATAACTTTAGAGGAATTCTTTCTTCTTCTTCTTTTCAAAGGAAGGAGAAGGTAAATGGAGAACCTTTGATAACAACAGATGGAAAAGAAAAGGACAGGTGAGGATGAGGTGAAGAGATTTGAAGAGGATAGCATCCCTTCACTTTTAAAGTCATAATTATGGGTGCATTTTTGTTCATCATCCTTTTGATGACCGTTAGATAAGTTTAATTTTTGAGATTTAAGTCTATCAAGTAAAGAGATCTCAAAATTTAAACTCATCCAATTATAATACATAGGGTTCCATCACTTAAAGGTGGTGACCAAAAATATTCCACGCAATTATAGCTGGCTGGCTCCACAATATGGGGATAGAAGCCCTTGATGCCCCACCCGATGAAAGGTGGATCAATAATTAGAGGGAGTCTCCTTGTTGCAATATCTTTTCTGTTTTACTCCACAGCACATGTGATGGGAACTAAACTACAAGAAAGTAAATCAAACCCACAAAAAAAATGGAGGAATGGTGTGTCTTTATCCCTAAAAGATGGACAAAGATTTTGCAAACTCTAGTGCCTTGAGAGCAGTGTACACTTATCTTCATATCTATAGTCAATCTCTCACCCTCCTCTTATTTGTGGAGAGCACCACGATTGCTCAAACTCGATACAGGAGACAACGCCAACAAGAGAAAGGGCTCACTGATTACCATTTTCTCAGAGGGTTTCAAATTGGCTTAAAACTATCGATTCATAATTAATTGTGTTTGGTTCATGTTTGACTTGTTGAAGCTTGGTTTAAGAATAAAACAAGCCAAAGCTTGGTTGAAAAACTTGTGAGTAACTCACACTAGCAGAAAAATATGTTTGCGCGACGGCAACTTGCGCGACGGATCAAATTTTGTTGCGCAAAGTATGTTTGCGCGACGCAAAACACAAAACGTCGCGCAAACTACCTTTCGCGACGGCACTTTGCGTGACAAAGGCTCACGTCGTGCAAAACAGCTTTGCGAGACGAAGGTGACACAGCACGTGACGCAAACTACCTTTGCACGACGTAGGTGCAACTACCTTTTTTTTGCCTTTTCCTTTTCTTTTGGGGTTCTTGCATTGCCTTTTTATTTTGCGGTATCCACTTGTGTAAATGTTTTAAATTGACAATCAAATTAGTTCATTGTATTTATATAGGTTTAAAGAGTGTACCTGTAAAAAAAATCATCAAAATCAGAGCTAAAATAACCATTAAATCATGATTTTTCGTTTATAGCCATTGAAAAGGTTTGTCTCGTTACTTGATATTTGAATGTTTGTTTTTTATGATTTTTGGCGTATACGATCTCGAAGCATATACAAACAAGTTTGATGGTTGGATCGTTGAAACTAGTTTTGTACAATGCATTTTCCATCAAAACGATAGGTTCACTAACACTTAGAGTTTATTTATACTTTCATTAAGTATAATATAAGATTTTGTGGTATCCACTTGTGTAAATATTTTAAATTGACGATCGAATTTGTTTGTTGTATTCATATAGGGTCAAGGAGTGTAGCCGTAAAAAATCATCAAAATCGGAGTTAAAATAACCGTTAAATCGTGATTTTTTGTTTATAACCATCGAAAAGGTTTGTCCCGTTACTTGATCTCTGAATGTTTGTGTTTTGTGATTTTTGGCGTACGGGATCTCAAAATATATACAAACAAGTTTGATGGTTGGATCGTTGAAACTAATTTCGTACAATGCGTTTCCAATCAAGTTCATTGGTATATGTATTTACTAAGTAGATTTTAATTTATTTATTTTGTACAAATAAGCAAAAGGACAAAAAAAGCCTTTGCATGACGTAGGTACAACTGCGTTACGCAAACTAGCTTTGCGCGACGCAGTTGTACCTATGTCGCGCAAAGGCTTTTTTTTTTTTTTTTTTTTTTTTTTTTTTGCCCTTTTCCTTTTCTTTTGGGGTTCTTGCATTGCCTTTTTCTTTTGTGGTATCCACTTGTGCAAATGTTTTAAATTGACGATCGAATTAGTTCATTATATTCATATAGGGTTCAAGAGTGTAGCTGTAAAAAAATATCAAGATCAGAGTTAAAATAACCGTTAAATCATGATTTTTCGTTTATAACCATCGAAAAGGTTTGTCCCGTTACTTGATCTCTGAATGTTTGTGTTTTACGATTTTTGGTGTACGGGATCTCAAAATATATACAAACAAGTTTGACGGTTGGATCGTTGAAAATAATTTCGTACAATGCATTTCCCATCAAGTTCATTGGTATATGTATTTACTAAGTAGATTTTAATTTATTTATTAATACTTTCATCAAGTATAACATACGATTTTGTGGTATCCACTTGTGTAAATATTTTAAATTGACGATCGAATTAGTTCATTGTATTCATATAAGTTTAAAGAGTGTAACTGTAAAAAATCATCAAAATCGGAGTTAAAATAACCGTTAAATCATGATTTTTCGTTTATAGCCATTGAAAAGGTTTGTCTCGTTACTTGATATCTGAATGTTTGTTTCTTGTGAGTTTTGGCATATACGATCTCGAAGTATATACAAACAAGTTTGACGGTTGGATCGTTGAAACTAATTTCGTACAATGCGTTTTCCATAAAAACGATAGGTTTACTAACACTTAAAGTTTATGTATACTTTCATTAAGTATAACATAAGATTTTGTGCCATCCACTTGTGTAAATATTTTAAATTGACGATCGAATTTGTTTGTTGTATTTATATAGGGTCAAGGAGTGTAGCTGTAATATGAAATATGAAATTTCTTTCAATTGTGCAAGTTTGAAAAGATGAAAGATTTAAGGTAATAGCAGATGTGATTGTTCAATGAATCTTTAGTTTGCGTTGATCAATTTAATTCATATGCATCACTTGAAATCTCAAGGAGAGGGAATTATTTGGCTTGATCAATGAATCTTTGGATGGATCGGTATGCAAGTTATGCCGAGTCAGGTGTTGCTTGTGGTTGTCTCTATTAACAGGTTATATTTTCTCTAGCTAATGGATTTTATTTGGGACAACTAGATATTGTATCAGTTTGGGAATCTTTGGTCTAAGCACTTTAAGGATGTCCCCTTAGTGTGCCTTCGTCTTAACTGGCTGGATTTTTGTATAGAGTGGTGCTGGAGTTCTGCTTTTAATTTCTCCCCTATGTGAGCTTCATCTCTTACAAACAAAAAGAAAGACTGCAATTCTGTGAACAAATCCTTGGTGTTCTAGAAGAGGATTATATCATTAAGTGCATGCATTAGCTGGATAAGTTTCCGAAAAAATCATGATGCTCAGATCCTAAACTGTGCACCTTATTCCAGGTTGCGGATGGAACATTCTTGGAAGAACCTGGTTCTAGTGCTGTAGCAACTATTGAGAACAAAAAGGTTTCCGTTGGACTTTGGAATGGGTTCAAAGGTAATTACAGGGTATAATGGAATATAATAGTTTGTATCATTGCATATTTGAATGTGAATTTGCTTCTTGTAAAGGTGTAATGCTGATAGGCATTGGCCCTGGACCATTGTTAAGAGAATTTAGAATCCTATTATTGAAAATTTAGATTCATATAGGACAACATAGAGTGCTGTCTATGATCATGATGAACTCTTTAGGATATAAATAACAATGTACATGGAGAAGTAATGCTTGACAGATTCGACTTACAGGAGCACTAAAATGAAGTTCTATAAGTAACACAATTTGTAGAAAACAGAAGCAGCTTCGAGAGACTAAGGGCCTGTTTGGGATTGAGGTGCTTAAAAAAAAAGCTACTATGAAAAAAAGCTATGAAAATTTTTGGTGTTTGGTAAACTTTGAAAAGCAGCTTTGTTTCAAAGTTGAGGGTGAAAAAAAGCCCAAAACCAAGAGATGACAAGAAGCTGCAATTTGTAGCTTCCAAAAGCAGCTTATTTTCACCCACACACGGGTGAACAGTACCCAGTTTAATGAAATATGCCATAACCCAAAACTGCCCTCGCGCTTTCCCTTCACCGACGCTCTCACCTTTCTTCCAAAACACTCTCGCACGCTCTTCACCTCAGGACTCTCTCGCAGAACCCGAACCTCAGGCTCTCTCTCGTTCTCTCGTTCTCTCGTTCCGTCGTTCCAAAAACCAGCGAACTCGTTCTCTCATTCTCCAGGTTTCTCCAGGTAAGCTTCTCATTTCTTTGTTTGGATTTTTCAAATTAGGGATGGGGAGATTAGGGAAAGAGGGGTGGGAAGAGCAAAGGGATTAGGGTATGGGTGTCGGGAAAAACAATTGGGGATGGAGGGTGGGGAAAAATTAATTGGGGAAGGTGATATGGTTTGTGGAAAA